AATGGACATAAGACACTGGGGGGTAGGGGAGGCCAGGGGATTGTCAAGGGCGGGGGGGAAAAAGACACACATGTAATACCCTTTGTAATACTGTAAGCAATAAAAAAATTAATAATAATTAAAAAAAGGTAGCTTGAAAATAGAGCGAAGTTCTAGTATTTTGGCCAAGTAAGCTGAAAATAAATTGATATTAACAACTGAGCTAGAATAAAAGCCAATCCATTCTCTCCTTGTTGTGTTAGCGTGTCTTGAGGTTTCATACAAATATGAAATGACACTCTTTTTTTTTAAAAATATATTTTATTGATTTTTTACAGAGAGGAAGGGAGAGAGATAGAGAGTCGGAAACATCGATGAGAGAGAAACATCGACCAGCTACCTCCTGCACACCTCCCACTGGGGATGTGCCCCCAACCCAGGCACATGCCCTTGACCGGAATCGAACCTGGGACCCCTCAGTCCGCAGGCCGACGCTCTATCCACTGAGCCAAACCGGTCTCGGCGACACTCTTATAAAACTGATATTTTATCAATTAGACCAAAAAAACTTCCTTTTGAATACAGCATGTAGTAGAATTGTGTTGATAAATATTCATACAGTTGAATATTGTGGCTTTTTAAATTAAAAGGGTGGGGAAGTTTATGGATTTTTAGATCCTGAGTGCTAATTAAAGGTAGTCCTTCCTTAGTTATTAGACTATGAGGAAAAAAATTCTTGATTCCTTCAGAAGAGTGCTTAAGAATAAAAGATAAAGAGCAGATTTTAGTGTGTGTTTCTTAAAAACACACACATCCTGTAACTGAATGACTAAATTGTTAGCCTTTATGACTTATTGTCAAGAATACATGATAATTTTTTGTAGCATTTTTTTACTTTTCCTGTTGTTGGCATTTGGGCCTGAAATTTTTTCAGGACCCAACTTTTAAACTCATCTTTAAGAAATTAGAAAAGATGGTAGAAGACATAGGTGAGAGAAACATATTTTGAAATCAAACTGCAAAGTTTTATGAATATATTAATAACCTAATTTTCATTCATATGCTAACTTTTATAATATAAACCTTTTCACTTATGCTTCTTGAAGCCATCTTGATTACCTGCTATCCACATGGACACAAGGATACCAACTTGGGAATCCATTTCACATATCTTTTATAGCGTAATAAAACATTATTTGAACCTCATATTAAAGATAGGCATGCATATTTACAATAGTCATTTAAAATTTTTAAACATTTTATATGTTGTCTTTTATAATCTGTTTTTAATATTTTACTTACATTAGAGATCAATTTTCACACCTCTAGGAGCAACAGTATACAACTGCAACAAGTTTTGAATGTATTTTTCTCCTTTAATATTTATTAATGTGATTGGGAAATGAATAATCAGCATTAAAATTAGTGCTCCAACTTCCTGTATTTTTCATAATTAACTCAACTTAGTCAATTTGATAACTTGTGCTTGTGACAAGCATTTGTTAAGTAAGAGAAAAATACAGGAATAGCTAGTTATTTCTTAAGAATCCTCATGAGGGGTTTATCTACTTTGTGTATCAGATTTATGTCCTGAGTTGGCTTTTCTTTGTTATCCAGCACCAGGCTACGGTGGCTCTATAATTTAAACTAGTTTAATTTGCGTGTGCATGTGTATGTGTGTGATATATATGATATGTGTATGTGTAAATAATGTATCTGTGTACATATATGTATATATAAGTATGCCTAGAAGTACAAATCTTCTATAAAATGAGTTATGTTTTTTGAAATCCTTATTTATTATGTGGATAACAAAAACCACCATTCTAGGTCCATGGGGATAGTTGAGCATTGGCCATGTTACTTGCGATTGATCAGCCAAAATTAATTGAGAGCATACTAGACATGGCTCTCATTTCAGAGTCAACCTCTGAAGTTTTATGATTTAGTGGGAAGATTATATCTGAATCATAGATGAATATTGAACCTGAGGAGTTAGGGTGGGGGAAGGAAATTTGAAATGATCTTCAGTAGCTTATGTTTATTTCTGTGCTCTCACCCACTGAAATGGTAAACTGATCTTCTCAATCTTTTCTGTAGGAAATTTTGGGAGCGGTTTATTGCCCTGTGTCATGAAAATAATAGCCTACACGGAATCACTTTTGAACAGATCAAAGCTCAACTAGAGGCTTTAGAACTAAAGAAGACATATGTGTTGAATCCACTGGCACCTGAATTTATCCCCCGGGCCCTAAGACTGCAGCATTCAGGAAGTGCCAACAAGCTGCAGCAATCACCCCCCAAGGTAAAGCCTGTTAATGAAATTGAAGAGGCTAAAGTGAGAGAAAAGTGCAGAGGTGTCAAAGCTTTATTGAGCTGCTAGTTACTTTAGGTATTCAGCAAGTAGTTTCTGAAAGGAAGTTGTCTAGTGTGGAAATACAGTGTGGTGTTTAGCCATGGTTAATGTCATAGTCATCCTCAAAAAGTTTTCAATTACCTGATTTCTTCTTGTGTCCTTTGAATAATATAATATCCTAGTCCTCTCTACTGATAGATTTATTTTGGCAAGATGTGAATAATACAAAGCAAATTTAAAAGACTAGACTAGCACACTTACTAAAAACATATTTTTGTAAGGAATAACATAACGATATCTGTGTGAAGAAAATAGGTCTAATCCTTTCTTGATTAAGTATGCCTAGAAGTACAAATCTTCTATAAAATGAGTTATCTGTTTTGAAATCCTTATTTATTATATGGATAACAAAAACCATCATTCTAGATCCATGTGGATAGTTGAGCATTGGCCATGTTACTTGCAGTCTATCAGCCAAAATTAATTGAGAGCACACTCTGTATGTTCTACAATACTAGACATGTTCATTTCAATACTAGTTCATTTCAAGTGGTATTTGCCACAGTGAGGAAATTTGGCCAACTTCTTGAAGGTTACTTTAGTTGATTTTGACCTATATTTGTTGTATAAGAAGTAATCTAGTCAGAGGAAGTGGAGGTGGGAAAGTCAAAGCCATTTCTACTTTTGAACCATAGTTATTTTGGGCAGAGACAGCTGGTTTATTTACTATACTGCCTGAAAAAAAATCCACTTATCATCTAGGACAGAAAGTTGTGAGAATGACATGTTTAGTATTTGTTCCAGTGTTTTGGTGTATTTAATAGTATGTCAGTTTTGGGCTTCATTTAAAAAACGTAAAACCTAATGTGTAAGCAATAATTAATGGTTTATTATCTGGAAAGTTTTTTAGCTAAATAGGTATTAAGCCGAAAATAGAATTATTTTCTATGTTAATGTACTGTTGTATATTCTTAGTTTAATAAAAATGAACCTAATCCTATATAATAAAAACCTAATATGCTAAGTGTCCAGTCCACCAGTCGGCTGTTCAAACAATTAAAGTGTAAGATGCTAATGATATGCTAAGGCCGCTCAACCACTTACTATGATGTGCACTGACCACAATGGGGCAGACAGTCAATCAGTCGACCAGTCGCTATGATGTGCACTGCCAACCAGGGGGTAGACGCTCCAACCGGTAGTTTAGCTTGCTGCTGGGGTCCAGCCAATCGGGACTGAATGAGATGGGCCGGACATGCCCTGGAGCCCTTGCTGGCCAACTTCCCACGTCCCTCACTGGCCCCGATCGTGCACTGGTGGGGTCCCTCGGCCTGGCCTGCGCCCTCTCACAATCCGGGACTCCTTGGGGAATGTCAGAGAGCCGGTTTCTGCCCAATCCTGCAGGCCAGGCCGAGGGACCCACTGGTGCACGAATTCATGCACCGGACCTCTAGTGTACAATAATGCGTTAGTGACTTGGGGTTACTAGGGGATTAAGAATTTTACTTAAATGAACCTTCTAGATTTCTAAAGCTTAAACTATTGATAAATAATATATTTTTTTAATCAAACAGTTAAGTTTCTTCTACATGCCAGCCATTATGGTAGGTGCTAGAGAAGTAGAGATAAGCAAATTAGTCTCCAGTGGCAGATGTTGGAGGGTAATGGCCAGATCTTGTTTAGGGGTCTACTGAGTGGGTGGAGGTAGTTGGGAGACATGTCAAAAACTAGAATATGTGCTCCATTAGGGCAGAGATTTTTGCCTGTATTAGTTACCGCTCTCTAGTGCCTAGTACAACATGTGGCTCATCTTAGGTCCTTTGAAGTATTTTTTAGATGAGTGAGTGAAGCTCAAGAAAGAGTTTATGCAAAAGGCTTTAAGCTTTGGGTATGTGAGGAGTAAGGACCCCAGGTAGAAATGTTTACATTTTATTTTTATTTAAAATGTTGCAAAGTCATTTTACCCTTTGCACATTCTTAAGTACAATAAACTCTTCCTTTAATTGAGCAAAGTGAGCATCAATTAATGTGCTTTAGATTCAGCTAGATTCAAGCCATCATAGCAAATGTCTGCTGATCCTAAGCAAGATCCTGCAATTTGCTTTTTTTAAATATGTTTTTATTTATTTTGGAGAGAGGAAGGGAGACTGGTAGAGTGATAGAAACATCGATGAGAAACACATCTATTGATCGGCTGCCTCCTGAACGCTCCCTACTCGGGGTTGAGCCTGAAACCCAGCAAACCGGTCATGTGCCCTGACCAGAAATCGAACCAGTAAACTCTTGGTTCATAGGTTAATACTTAATCACTGAGCCAAACTGCTGGGCTGGTTTTATTTGAAAGGTGAAGAAAATATATGTTGAATCCACTTGCTCTTCCAAGACCATAAACTCCCTGAAGTCTAGCCCCACTTTCTGCACATAGTGGGTGCTCAGTAAGTATCTGATAAGTGATTAATGGGTATGATGCAGCCAGTAGTGTGGCTTTTTTCTTTCACTGAGAAAATTGTGTAATTAAATTCCAAAGCAGCCACCTCCCCAGTTTTAAAAACTTTTTAGAGAATCTTCACTGAATCAGTACATAGTATCTGTTATTTTTATATCAATAGCACAGTGGTTCACTAAATCATCTATCTACATGGTTATTGTAAATTATTATTTATGTCATATGCAGTAATCAATAGTATAAATAACTGAGGGATTGTGAACCAAAGGTTATTTCTATCACCTCACCTCCTTCTTCTCCCCGTTTTCTTTTTTATTTCCATGAAATTGTTTTGAGGTTTGAATTTGCACTGGTGTCCCTTTTTATTTAATTTTCTATTATTGAAAATTTCAAACATTTACTTAAATAGAGAATAGTATAACAAATTTCTTATCATCCAACTTCATTAATTATTAACTTAATCTTGTTTCATCTATATTCTACTTCCTCCACTCCACCAACACCACATACACCCACTAGAAAATTTTGAAACAAATCCTAGATAATTTATTTTATGTGCTGGAGTCTTTTGATAAAGGAAAACTTACTTCATTGTAAGAAAAAGGTGCTATTTCTGAAAACATGATACTAAGCCATACGATTTCCCCCTAGATTTCTTAATGTTTAACTTTCAACACAGTTCTGGGCATAAGAAATCTTAAAAATTAGTATTGTCAATGTTATACTAAGTTTTAAAATCCAAGTAAGATTTCATATAGATAAAATAATCAGAAGGCTGGATCATGGTTAAAAATGTTCCAGGAACTGCTACCTCAGGGCTGTGTTTGTCAACAAAACATACCTTTTGCTGCTTAGCAAATAACTTTATTCTCCTCACTAAGATAATCAGTTCTGTGATAAGGTTTAGCAAAGGTACAAAATGTTAGGGGATCCAGGAGTGAGTAATCTAGCCAATCCTCATTGCCTCACTCCCTCCAGGAATCATTTATAACAATGTCTGTTTCATGGGCACCTGCAGAATTAGTAGGGAGAAAACCAATATCCCTGTCTTCATTCTGCTTCCTCCTCGGGCACTTGCTGGGAGCAATGTGTGGAAGCTTTGATAAAATCAAGCAGATTCATACACTATAAAAACTATTCAGAGGATAGATGGTGAAAAACAACTCACAAACTAAAACCTATAAAATAATGCTTTGGTCTTTTCAAAGGCTCCATTTCTGAATATTACCTATTCTCCAGTTCTCACATGTGGCCCCCACATCTCAGAGCCTTCTCTCCCTTAGAACCTCTCTGACTTCCCCTTCCACCTCATCTTTCCTTTCCTTCTGCTGCATCTTCTTGACTCCAACTGGGAGAAATTGCTCTACTTTTAGGGTTCATGTGAATAGGTTATGTCCATCCAGATACTCCAGGATAATCTTATGTTAAGTCCGTAACTTTAATTATATCTGCAAAGTCTCTTTTGCCACATAACATGGCATATTCCAGGGTCCTAGGGACTAGGGTGTGGACATCTTTGGGGGGCCATTCTGCCTCCCACCCTGCCTAAATCCCTGTGTTTTCTTCACATACTACACAGTTGCCCCTGATTGATGGGTCCTTAGAGACTAAGAAATCTAAATGGCTTATTACCCTCTTAGAACTACCTTATCTTCTATGTCCTCGGCTCTTGTTTCCTCTGTCAGTGTGTGTGCCCCTGACTGTTCTTGTTGTCACTTCTAATTGCTCTGCTTCTGATCTTCCCACCTTCTCGGCCAGCTCTGCTGCCTGCCATCTTCTCCTTTCACTTTCCTCCTTTCTCATCACTTCTCTGTTCCTCAGAAGTGTGTTTTTTATAGCTAGTGACAATCACTGAGAAGACTCTCTTCTGGCTAATGAATCAAATATGATTCTATTTTGACTTTTTTTTTTTTTTTACTTTTTAAAGTTAGAACTTAGCTGTCCTTTTACATTCATAACTAACCAACTGACCTTTGATGTTTAGTACTGATCTGAATATTTAGTGTTGCTGACAGAGATAAATGAAGCATCACTGTACTTTTGCTCTAGTCAAGAATGGATTTTTCTTCTTGCTATAGATATTATTATCTCCCCCTTTAGTTTTCAGATATAATGTACAAATAGCAATTTGTATGTGTCTAAGGGTAAATTGTATAATGTGCTGCTTGTGTTTTTTAAAGGCTTTATGTATTGCATTTAGCCAATGGAAAGAGAAAGAATTTTTTAACCAAGTCCACAAATTCAGAACCATTGTCTTTTCAAATACTGTTTCTGCCCCAAAGTCATCATTTTTAACAGTAGATTAGTATACCATTATATGAATCTGCCATTGCTTACTTAGTAAATCCTTCATTGATGGACATTTAGGTTGTTAGCATATCATCCCATGTATAAACAATGCTGTGATGAACATCTGTGCCAAATCCATTATTATTTCATTTGGAGACATCTCTGGAAGTGCAATTACTGGGTTAAAGTGTATGTACATTTTGGATGCTTTCAATAGGTATTGCCAAATTGCTTTCTGGAAAATTTGTATATTCTCTTAAGTACATTATATCAGTGTGTCTTTCTGTTTTTTTTTTTTTTTTCAGTAAATTTTACACTTGAAGATGCCATGAATCATACTCAAATTATTGTCATTCCCAGACTATAGGTACATTCATGTTACTGGGGTTTTTTAAAAAATATATTTTTATTGATTTCAGAGAGGAAGAGAGAGAGAGGGAGAGATAGAAACATCAGTGATGAGAGAGAGTCATTGATAGGCTGCCTCCTGCACGCCCCCTACTGGGGATTGATCCCACAACCCAGGCATGTGCCCTTGACTGGAATGGAACCCGGGAGCCTTCAGTCCGCAGGCTGACACACTATCCACTGAGCCAAACCAGCTAGGGCCATGTTTTAAAGGTTCTCATACTCAAGAATTGAAGACTAATATTTTCTCTTTGAAATACAACTTTTACATTTTGTTATTTATTTCATACAAAATTTGCAGAGAAACTGCAAAGGAATAGAATTTAGGTTTAAGTTGTATTGGTTGCGTGTTTCTTTTTATAAAAAACTAGGGGCCCAGTGCACAAATTCATGTACCTTGAAAGGAACTGTGGGCCACGAGGCTGCGATGGGCATGGGGCGGGTCTCGGCCCATCCTCTGCGCCCCCGCCTGGCCCCTCCTGCCACTGCCCCCCGGCTCCCTCTCTGCGGCAGCCCTGCTCTTGCCACCGCCGTTCCCACATGCTGACAGTGTTGGCCTCGCTTGCACCTGCTGACAGTGCCGCGTGATTGGGGCCGGCGCCAGCAGCAGGTGCAAGCAGGGCTGGCGCTGTCAGAGGGTGCGAGTGGTAGCTGCTGTCCCGATCACCCCTCAGGAACGGGGAGGTGGAGAAGCCCTCAGCGGGGATCAGGGCCGGCAGCCGCCACTTGCACCCACTGGTGGTGCTGAGCAATCAGGACCGGCACTAGGCTCCGGCAGCGGATATGAGCAGTGGCTCCGGCATCAGCTGCAGGTGTGAGTGGCGCCGGCAGCAGGTGCGAGTGCCAGGCAGGCCCACGGTGCGTGGGAGCAAAGAAGTTTTAGTAACCACCAGAGGCTTGCCCTGATGACAGAGACCGGTCCCCCGCCTTGGTCTGGCGCCCCCGCTTACCTGCTCCACCATCCCACCACGGCCAACGCCTGCCATAGCCCGTGTGCGCCCCCTGGTGGTCAGCGCACGTCATAGTGACCAGTTGTTCTGCCGTTCGGTCTATTTGCATATTAGGGTTTTATATATATAGATTTCTATGAAAAAAGAATTTTAGATATCCTTAACTTGGAGCTGAGAACATGTAACACCATGACTTTAATATTTAAAAGAAAAGTTCAGAACAGTTTAATAGTTATTAATTATGAGCTTGTAGTCTTTACATTTTAATTATTGCTGTATACATGTGATTTGCATAGGAACTGGTATTGTTCTCTAATATTAAATGTGTTTTGTGTTTTTTTTTCTGTAAAGGGGAAAAGCCTCCAACATACCCAGAATGATCATTTCCAGAATGATGGAATTGGTAAGTGGAAACAGCCCTATGAGAACTCACTTTTATGATATGGTATTTACCACAGATTTCATCATTTGAAAGAGAAAGGTGGGAAGAGGGAAACACACACACACACACACACACACACACACACACACACACGGACATGGACACGGACACGGACACACGGACACTTTGGAACTCATTTAACTCTTCTATTCATATGGCATTTCTTTCTTTCTTCTTTTTTAATCCTTACCCAAGGAAATATTTTTATTGAGAGAGAAATATTTTTAGAAAGAGAAACATCAGTGTGAGAGAGAAATATTGATCAGTTGTCTCCTGTACACATCCCCACCAGGGATCAAACCTACAACCCAGATATGTGCCCTGACCTTTTAGTGAACAGGATGACGCTCCAACCAACTGAGCCACATGGCCAGGGCTCATATGTCGTTTCTTACAAGGGGTGATTTTGTAGGTACCAAAGTACATATCCAGAAACAGGAAAAACATTTAAGCCTTCTATGTAACCTAAGTTTTTGGAACATATTTATATCCTACAAATGTTGGGTCATACAGAATTCAAGATAAAGTTTATATCAGTTATTTAAAATGTTGCAGAATTATGCTTTTAAAATAATAATTGTTTATACTTCATTTTGTATGTGGCTTTATTACAATTGCAAGTCAAAACTTTATTCTGAAGACTTGTATGTATTTTCCTAGTCTTGGAAGAATGTTTACTGAGAGTGTAGGTGTGCGCATGGTTTTCTCTCTTGAAGGACTCATCTCCAGCCTCAGAAGACATTTAAAAATATGCTTCTTTATAAAAAAAATACTTTGCATATCTCAAGCTAATTTTAGGGAACATTTTAAAATGGTTATGTTAGGTTTTTTTAATATGCATTACTCTTCCACACTAATAATTCTTTGATTATAAGATATCTCGTGGCAAACTTGGGAAATATATTTTGCTGTTGGATGATTTGAATTATTTTTGTCTAGGTGAATATATACAGCTAGTGAGTATACCCTTTCTCTATTTTTTTTTTCAGTTCAACCCAATCCTTCCGTTCTTATTGGCAATCCTATTAGAGCATATACTCCTCCACCCCCTCTTGGACCTCATCCAAATTTGGGAAAATCTCCAAGCCCTGTCCAGAGAATAGATCCTCACACTGGGACAAGTATTCTTTATGTACCTGCTGTCTATGGAGGGAATGTAGTTATGTCGGTGCCTTTACCTGTAAGTGGATGTTTGAGATACTTTCTATTGAATAAAATAAAATAGACTTCACTAAAGTAGTGACTGTTCCATATAGTGTCCTACCAGCTTTTTATAAAAACTTTTCAATGCCTGTAAGTTTCTTTTAAAGCAGTTTATTATCTTTAACCTAATTTTGAAATGACCAAAGAAATGTGAATTTTTGCTTACTAGATTATCAGTGGCTATGAAGAAATCTGTAAATTGGATATTTTGATTGAGAAGCCTTTGTATTCTTTTAAAATATTTTTACTGGTAAATTGAGCCAAAAGTTAACAGAGCTAGTAAATTGGTCTCTTGTTTTGTAAAGTGATGTTTTTCTTGGATCTTTTGCATTTTATACTTGTACTAGAGGCCTGGTGCACGAAATTTGTGCATAAGTGGGGACCCTAAGCCTGGCTGGCGATCAGGGCTGGGGTGATCAGGGCCCCAAGGCCCCCTGCGGGGTCAGGAGAGGAGGTGATGGTCGCTGGTCTAGGCGCGGAAGGAACAGACGCCTGCCGCTGACACCGCCAACGTGTGGTTCCCCACTTCGCCCCTCCTCCTTCCCTCGCCGCTGTGCTGCCACCGCGGCAGGTGGGCAGCAGGCTGATTTGGCGGAAGGATGAGGCATGGGAGGTTGGCCACCGGCCCCGAGGAGGGAGCTGGCCCTCGGCCCCCCTGGGAAAGGGGCCACATCCACCACCACCCACTCCCAGTTCCTCGTCCCAGCCTGGGGCGGGGGAGAGAGACCACGGGAGGTTGGCCAGCGAGGGAAGGGTGGCTGTGGGAGCGCACTGACTACCATGGGGCAGCTCCTGCATTGAGCATCTGCCTCCTGGTGGTCAGTGCATGTCATAGCGACTGGTCATTCTGGTCGTTCAATCATTATGGTCGCTTAGGCTTTTATATATATAGATAATTCACTAACTCTTCCTAAGAAAGACAGTTCTTTGGAGGAGGCAAAGAAGGTTAGATTAGTCTAACTCCCTTGAATCTAAATTTATCAGAGAAATCCACACCTTATGAAATCTTATTGGTACTTAAAAACATTATTAAATCCTTCTTAAGACTCTAATCTTTAGAGAGCTTCCATCTTGTGTAAAACCCCATTTTTATTTCCTTTAACATACTGAATATTTTAATAATTTTGTTAATTTTCTGATATACTAATATTTCCAAATTCAGGAATTTTAGCCTAGAAAACCTTTCTTTCACTTAAGGAAAGTGCTGTAATTTCAGGCAGAGGTGATCATTGCCAAGGATCTTTGGCACCCCTGCCCACACCCCCAAAGTGGAAAAATGTCAATCTGCAAACATTTCTAGCCATATTGATCATGATAGTTCACAATCACAGCAGCCAATGAGAAGAACTGTCAGTAAGAAATACGTAATTCATGCCCACTCCCCACAGATTTCAATTTTAGCTGAGTTATTTCTTCCCAGACAGCCTGGCAACATTATACATCATCTGCTTTAAATAGTAAGTCCCTTAGGATTTATATTTCATTTTACTAGGTCAAAGAGGCTTTTATTATATAAGATTTCTCAGAGTCTGCATTTAGCAGTTATAATAAAATAATAGGGAGGTAGCTCAGATGTCATTTGTATTTATCCCTTTTATGTTAATATACAGGGATTATATATATATATATATACACATACCTAAAGAAAGTTTCTGTTTCTGTATTTAAAGGAAGAGTTGAACTTATCAAAAGCATTGATTAAATTAATGACCTTTTAAAATTTTGCCTATATCATACATGAACATTAAATGATTGGATTATTTATATTAAGGTGCAATACCTATTTTTTGAATTGAGACTCCTTAGACTAAATTTTTTCTTAATTTTTCCCCCTTTTCTCTTATTCAGTCTATTAAACACTGTAACAATTCACTTAGGACTTTAAAAGATAATTTTCAGGATAATCTGTGACATGTATACATTCAGATTGAGGGGAAATGATTCAAGATTACAAAATGATTTAATGCTTCAAAAAATAATTACCAATTTTAAGTTCTCAGTTTCTTCCTAGCCTGTTAAGTGAGAAATTTTCCCTTACACACTAAAGATTCAGGGAGCCATTTCAGGCTAGTTGAGATGTAGCAGTATTTCTGTCAGTTGTTAGCATTAGCGTTGACTGTAGTTATTCATTTTGATAAAATTAACACCTCTTTGTGTGAGTTTGCTTTTTCCTATAGCAGTTTGCCTTCCAAAATGTATATAATGAAGTTATTTTGTTTTTTGTGATAACCTAGGTACCATGGACAGGATACCAGGGTAGGTTTGCAGTTGATCCTCGAATCATTACACATCAGGCAGCTATGGCCTACAATATGAACCTCTTACAGACGCATGGACGGGGGTCTCCTCTACCTTATGGCCTTGGGCATCATCCCCCTGTCAGCATAGGGCAGCCACAGAACCCACATCAGGAGAAGGATCAGCATGAGCAACATCGAAATGGTGAGTTGCTTTGCTGGTCTCATGTTCCTAAACTGATGATATGCCAACCTGTATTAACATAGAAAGTTCCTTTAATAGTATGATTGTTAACTTTTTTATAGGTCATAGACCTCTTTGAGAAAAATCTGATATAAAAACTGTGGATTCTCTCTCGAAGATACACAGATATAAAATTTGCGTGTAACCTACCAGCTATGATTGGCATTACTAATTTCCTGAAAAAATATTAAATTTTAATATTTAAAGTATTTCAAATGGTAGTCATTTAATATTGAGACAGAAAACCCTTATTTGTTAAACACTTTTGTTAGTCCAAGATATTTTTGCTGTATACTAAACATTAACACTACTGTGGCAATAGTTGATTTAAACTAGTTGTTTCTTATGCAAGTCATAGTCTCTTGTCTCCTAGTATTGTAAATAAAGGAAAATTAGCCACCATATATATATATATATATGTTGGTGGTTGTTTGTTTGTTTTTTAATCCTCACCTGAGGACATTTATTTAATTGATTTAAGAGAGAGGAAGGGAGAGAGAGAGAGACATCAGTGTGAGAGAGAAACATCGATCAATTGCCTCCCATATACCTTCCAGCTGGAGATTGAACCAGAAACCTGAGTATGTGCCCTGGCCAGAAATCAAGTCTTTTTCTATGCACAGGACGATGCTCCAACTAACAGCCACACCGGCCAGGGCCTACTCTATTTTTTAACATCAGGTTTATTGAGGTATAATTTATATACAGTAAAATTCACTCTTTTAAAATGTTGATGTGTTCTGACAAAATATACAGAGTTGTTAATCAGGCAGGATACAGGATATTCACATGACCTCAAAAAGTTCCTTCATATCCCTTTGCAGTAAGTCTCCTCCAATTCCCAGCCCTGGGCAACCACTAATCTGACTTTTGTCTCTACTTTAGCATATCATAAATAGAGTCATAGGGGAAGTAGTTTTTATGTGTTTGGCTTTGTTTACTTAGCTCAGTGGTCTGCAAACTACAGCTGGCGAGCCACATGCGGGTCTTTGGCCCCTTCAGTGTGGCTCTTCCACAAAATACCACGTGCGGGCACGCGTGTACAGTGCAATTGAAACTTCGTGGCCCGTGCGCAGAAGTCGGTATTTGGTGGAAGAGTTGCACTCAAGGGGTCAAAGAGCCGCATGTGGCTCGCGAGCCGCAGTTTGCTGACCACTGACTTAGCTTAATGCATTTGAGATTCATTCATGTTACCTGTGTCAATTGTTTGTTCATTTTTACTGTTGATTAATATTCCACTACATGGATGCATTACAGTAATTTTATCTGTTTGTCAATTGATGGACACCCTAGTTATTTCTAAATTTTGGTTCCTAGGCTGCTATGAACATATGTGTGAACATGTATTTTCATTTCTCTTGGATAAACATTCAGGAGTGAAATGTTATAAGAAGTTGCCATACTATTTTCAAAAGTGACTGGACCATTTTTCATTTCTACTAGTAATGTATGAGATTTCTAGTCAGCACTTGTTATTGTCAGTCTTTTTAACTTTACCCTTGCTAGTGGTTATCTGATAGTATCTGATTATGGTATTAATTTGCATGTTCCTGATAATTAATGATGTTGAATATTTTTTATTGGGCTTATTTGATATCTGTATATCTTTAATGAAGCATGTATTCTTAATTTTTGCTCGCATTTTTATTGGTTTGTCTTATTACATCATGAGAATTCTTTATACATTCTGGATACAAATCTTTAATTAAACATATGTTTTGAAATATTTTCTTCCAGGATATGGCTTGCCTTTTCATTTTCATAACAGTCTAAAATTTTTTGCCTTATTCAAGATCACAAAGATCATCTATTTTTTTCTATAAGTTTCATAGTTTTAGTTGTTACAGTAGGTTCATTTTGAGTTAATTATTGTATATGGTGTGAGGTAAGAATTGAAGTGGTTTTGTTTTGTTTTTGCATATACTAGTAAATACATTCAGTGGTTTCGGCACCATTTGAAAACACTGTCCTTCCATTAAACTATGTTGGTGCCTCTTTTGGAAATCAGTTGACTACATATGTGAAGTCTGTTCTGTTCTATAGATGTACATGTTTGTGTTTATTCCAAATACACTGTCTTGATTACTATAGCTTTATAAGCCTTAAAATCAAGTAGTATAAATCTTCCAATTGTGTTCTTTTTCAAAATTGTCTATTCCAGGTCCTTTGCTTTTCCACATGCATTTTAGAATCAGCTCATGAGTTTCAGAACAGAAAAGCCTGCTGGGATTTTGATTGGGATTGTGTTGAATTTGTAGGTCAATATGGGGGGAATTGACATCTAAACAATATTGAGTATTCTGATATATGAAGAGGACATGTCTCTCCCAAGATCTTTAATCTTTTTCATTTTTTAAAAAAGTTTTCAGTATACAGCTCTTGCATATATATTTTTAAGGTGAAAGATTAGTACAGGTAATTAGTGTTATAATTTTTCTCCTCAGTAGTACAGTGTTATATTTATTTCATTTTATTCTGTACACTTTATAATTTCTCTTCAAATTAGATCCATGGATTATTTAGGAAGGCGAGTTTTATTTTTTAATCATTGGAGATTTTCTAAGAATTTTTCTATTATCAACTTCTACTTTAATTTCATTGTGGTAAGAGAACAAATTTTATATGAATCGAATCCTTTTGAATTTACTGAGTTTTGTTTTATGACCCACTGTGTAGTCTATCTTTGTAAATTTTCCCTGTGCACTTTAGAAGAAAGGAGTGCTCTATAAATGTTAATTAGGTCAAATTGGTTGATAGTATTGCTTAAGTCTGTTATATTCTTGCTGATTTTCTACCTACTTAATAAAAAAAAATATTGAGAGAGGAATATTGAAATCTTCAAATATGCCCTAGCTGGTTTGGCTCAGTGGATAGAGCGTCGGCTTGTGGACTGAAGGGTCCCAGGTTCGATTCTGGTCAAGGGCACATACCTGGGTTGTGGGCTTGATCCCCAGTAGGGGGCGTGCAGTAGGCAGCCTATCAGTGATTCTCTCTCATCATTGATGTTTCTATCTATCTCTCCCTCTCTCTTCCTCTCTGAAATCAATAAAAAAGATATCTTTAAGTGCTTGCTTCAGCAGCACATATACTATAAATAGAATACAGAGAAGATTATCATGGCCCCTGCACAAGGATGACACGCAAATTTGTGAAGCATTCTATATTAAAATATATGTAAATACATATACATACATACATATATATATGTATATAAAATAAAAATAGAAATCTTCAAATATAATTAGTATTTGTCTATTTTTCTTTAACTTTTGCTTGATGAATTTTGAAATTCTGTTGTTAGGTACATAGACATTTAAAATACTGTGCTTTTAATTAATTAACTAATTTATCATTATGGAATGATCTTCTTTATCCCTGGTAATATTCTTTGCTCTGAGATCTACTTTGCTTAATATCAATAATTGTTTTAACTATTGTTATTACGGTATATCATTTATTGACCCTTTAATCTATTAGTGTATTTATATTTCAAATGCATTTCTTTTAGAAAGCATATAGTTGGCTCTTGATTTTTAAAAAAATCCAATATGATAATCTCTTTCTTTTAATTGGATTGTTTAGACCATTTATACTTTCGGTGATTATTAATATAGTTAGGCTTGATTTTTATCATCTTGCTCTATCGGTTTTTTTAATTTGTCCAAACTGTTTTTTTGTTTCCTTTTTTCTTTTACTCTGCCTTCTTTTGGATTGCTTGAATATTTTTATGATTCCCTTTTATCTCCTTCATTGGCTTATTAGCTATAACTATTATTTTAGTATTTTCTTTAGGTTTATAGTATACATCTTAAACTTACCACAGTCTAGTTTACAATTTATATTTACCACTTCATGTACAGTAAAAGAACCTTACGTTTCATTTTTTTCTCTTCTTGACTTTATCATATTGTTATAATGCATTTTACTTTTACATATGTTATAAACTCCAAACATTGTTACTTTTCTTAAAATGTCCGTGTACTTTTAAAGAGTTTTTAATAAGAAAAATAATAGTTTGTATTACCCATATAGTTAGCATTTCTGGTAATCTTTATTTTTTTCTATATATTCATGTTTTCATCTGATACAATTTTCCTTCTACCCAAAGTTCTTTTAACATTTTTTGTAGTGCAGGTCTGCTGGTGGTGAAGTTTTTCAGAGAAATCTGAAATCACCCTTATGTTTGTTTTCTGTATGAAATGTGTTTTTTTTCCCCTGCCTGCTTTTAAGAGTTTTCTTTTATACTGGTTTTAGTATTTCGATTATAACACTTCTTGGTATAGTTTTCGTCGTGCTTCTTGTGTTTGGGGTTTGTTGGGCTTCTTGGATAGTTTACAGTTTTCATCAAGTTTGGAAAGTTTTAACTCTTTATTTCTTCAGATTTTTTTTTTTCTGTCTTAACCTTCTTTCCTCTTCAGGAATTCCAACTACCTGTATATTAGTCTGCTTAAAGTTTCCCCACACTTCACAGGTGCTTTTTCATTTAAAAAAAAAATCAATTTTCTTTTTGTATTTTATTTTGCATATTTTGCCTTCAGCTTCACTAATCTTTTCTTCTTCATTGTCTAATCTGCTGCTAATTTCATCCAGTGTGTGTTTCATCTCAGACATTGTAGTTCTTATTTCTTGAAGGTTAGTAGTAATTCATTTTAAAGTTTCGGCCCTATGTTTTTGAACAAGAACCTAAATCAAGGATTCTTTCAGGAATTGAAAATTTCCATCAGTTAATTCTTATATAGTAAAAACCTTTTACATGCATGAAATGGCATTGTCTGTTATAATTGTGATATTTTTAACCTTCATTTTGCTTCCTTCACTTATATTTAGTTCAATATCTATTACTTTTAAGCAGCATATGTACATTTCAGAATATCTTTACTCAGTTTAGTTGCCTTTACTAAATTAGATTGACACGTTATTTGGCTTTTGCTTAATTGCATTTATAAATGATCAAATTTTTGAACCTTTATAAATAAGCAAGAATGCCAGGTTTTTTTCTATGTTTAGTTTAAGAAAAATTAAGCTGTAACTACCTGGAGATTGGGCTGTTATCTTTGGAATTATTTGATGTTTTAAGATTATCCTTTTATAAAGCTTTTGCCTTGTCAGTGTGGTTTGCTGTATTTATAAATTTTCTTTCTTGCAGAGAAACTGCCTCTGAAAATTTAAGAACAAAACTCAAGCAGTAATACAAATTGATAATAATGGCTGAAAAATGTTTAAAGTATTTTCTTTTGTCTAATATTGGGTAGTCATTGGAAATATAACTTCCTTACTGGAGACTATTTATAAAAATTTTAAAATATCTTCTTAGGTAAAAGTGATACAAATAATCCTGGACCTGAAATTAATAAGATTCGAACACCAGAGAAAAAGCTTACAGAATCAAAACAGGTATGCTGCTTACATTTAGTGACTGCATTGTTCTAATGGAGTTAGTCTGATTGGTCATCTTGGAATCTTAATGTTTTATAAAAAATTTACCTTTTTATGTGTATTTTTAATGTTATTGTTTCACAGTGGTCGGGTGGATCATGTTACCCTCTCTCCTTCCATCTTTTTGTTTTTTGGCTACATTATTAATTTATCAGTATACTTTTCTCAAATTGTGATATCGGTGATAGACTTGAACTTAGAGACTTTCCATGATAAAGTAGTCAGTGAAGACACGGCTAATAGATGTGTCATTAAAAATTGTCTTAAAAAATAATTCTCAGAATAGGAGAAGCTGTATAGTGAAGAAGAAGGAAAAATTAACTTCCTCAGAGGAAGACTTAACTTTCTCAAGTCACTCACCTTGTTCTCGCCTCAGACCCACAGTATAAATCCTTAATTCTTTATCCATTTGTTCATCTGTGCTTGTGAGCTAGTTAGGGAAAACCAAATTATTGACTGAATTAGTGCCATCACACATTTATGTGGTCTAACCTCAGGGAACCCGAGGTGCTCTCCCACGTTTCTTGTACATGTACCCAAGCTTCTTTTGCCCAGTTTTCTCAGCAGCTCTTCTCATGCCTGATTATCTTCCAACTTCTGTTATCCTTTTGATCAGGAGACGATTTTGCCTTAGACTTCGGTCATCAGGATTTCACCTTGTTAATTTAAAACCTTAAACTTAGCACTTTTCTACATCCTTGAACATCTTTGCTTCTTTATCACCAGGCTTAGAGAAGAAGTTCTCATTAAAACTAATCTCTCTCTTGGTCACCTCACCGACCTTGTTTCCTCTTCTCATTTATCTTTGGATTCTTTCTGGCTACAGGTTCTTCCTCTTCAGTCCATAAGTAAATTGATCGATAGACTGTTTTTTAAAAAGACACTTTCTTTATCTTCATCTTCTTATAGCTACTACCTAATTTCTCCTTCCTACCTCATCTTTATTTTTATGTTTCTTAACTAGCACAGTCTAGTATCAGGCCTCAACATTTCATCAAAACTGTTGGGTTCTAAGGGACCAAATGCTATGCACATGCTTCAGTTGTAGTCTTATTTGACTTATCTTTGGCATTTGGCACTATTTTCTACTTCTTTCATCTTGACCATCTTATTTTCTTTCGGTTTCTGTGACACACAGTTTTACTTTTCACAGTTCTTTCTAACATGACCTTCTGTCTTTTTTATAAGTTCTTGTCCACCTCCTTCCCATCTTTTTCTAATCCTTAAGTTAAGGGTTTTCAGGGTTCTGTCACTGCCCCACCTCTCTCCTTGCATACTATGGTTTCTTATTATACACTAGTCCATTTCCATGATAATGACTTCCAAATCTGGATCTCCAACCCCAGCCTTGCTTTGAGCAACTGCTCTCTATAGTCAGTTATTTATGTCTCATAAGTAGCTCTCACTCAGTTTCAACAGCTGGGAGGACTCAGTGCCCCTGGAGGGGCTGCAGTGGGAATGAGGCAGCCAGGGAAGTTCCCAGTAGAGAAAGAGGGCTGTGGCAGTGAAAGTGGAAGTCATGTGTATTTGGGAGAGGAGCAGGGAGAGAACAGGGCATGTTGGGACAGTGTAGCGGTAGTCAAAATCCAGGATAAGAGTTTAAGGTGCTGTCAGAGCAACTGAAGCCAGGATAGCTAAGTGTCTTTTAGGTCCTTGTTTTAAAATTTCCATTATGATCCTTCCATGTTAGGAGACTAGGCAACCCAATAGACAAATTTTATTTTCTTTCCTACCCTGATGCTTTGTCCAGCAAAGGGGTAGGGGGGAGAGGACTTCCTAGTTCTCCTTGAGTCAGGAACTCATATTAAGAGGAAAGTGATTGTTTAATTCTGATAATTGTAGACCCAGACTCCTTCAGACCTTACAGTTCTCTATTCTCCTAGCCCTTTGTACTATCATAAAGTAGCATGTCTTGATCTAAATTTCTCTGGCACTGGCCTAGCTTCCTGTCTATGTCAAAGTTAGAAGTGAAGGAGGCAATTAGAACAGCTCTTATCCACAGACAACCTTGACATCTAATCATGGTCTCTCTCGTGCAATCAAAGTGTGCATATCAACAGTCTTTGAAAAAGTACATCCCAGCTGAATGTAGTGTCAGTAATTAAAATAAAAAAATTTATGGGGCAAAATGTTTGTTTATAAAGAACCTTAATCAAGCTCTGAGACATTTGAAAAGCAGGTATTGCAGTAGCTTGGGCCCACTGGGACAGAGTGGTCATCCTGCTCATTTCATTTTCTAGACAATTGGTATACACCTAGTAATCTTAAGGAACTTATTGGCCCAATGTAATGGCAGTCCATTAGGGCTAGTGATTAGAGATGAGAGTGCACTGGGGATTGGACTGGCACATTGAAACCATCAGTTGCCATAGCTTGCTCACTAGGTGTACCTCAGCTTCAGTTCAGGAACAAGCTAGTTGTTCTGTGTTCTTGGGAGTGGCCAGTTCCGTTTCTAACTTGAGAGCCTTTGGTGAGGCAGGTAATCTTCAGTGACTATTTCAACATTGAAACTTGTAAGGACATTGATGTACCAAAGGAGCTCATTGAGTGCTTTGTCAGAGATGGAAAACAAAAATTGCTTCTTTCCGCCTTATATTTCATTTTTCACATTGCCACCGCTTACAGTCAGACTCAAGTTTCAGGATGGCTGCATTCCCTAGTTTATTTATAAGCCTTTGGAACTTGTCACAATTTACAGGATTGAAAAAATGTTTATGCCCAGTATTGAATCATTCAAGAGGTCATGTGTAATTGAACTCTTGCATCTTCATTTGTCAAGAAGGGGAAAACTAATACATAAACAAGTGAAGTTCCACCTCTCTGTACACAAAACTTCTCATGCTCTTCAAATGTGCCTACTTTTTATCCTCTCTCCACCTTTGTATAAGCTATTACCTTTACCGAGAATGCCCTTCCTTCCCTGGAAAATTCCAGCTCTTTATGCAAAATTCAGTAGAATTGCCGTAGCCTGTGTAAAGCCACTTTTAATTTTCCCAGGCACTAGGATCTCATCATTTCCATTACAGCACTTCTCATTTTATATTTACGTGTTGGTGTCCTCTACTGGACTCTAAGCCTGGGCTTAGCAAATTTTTTCTACCAAAGACCAGACAGTAAATCTTCAGGCTTCGTGGGTCATGTTTTCTGTTGCAACTGCTCAACTCTGCCACTATCGTGAGAAAGCAGCCACAGTCAGCATGTAAATGAATGAGCTGTGTTCCAGCACAACTTATAAAAGTCTTTTGGGCTGGAAATGGCCTGGGGGCCATAGCTGGTCAGCCCCTGCTGCTTGAAGCTCTCGTGGGCACGGACCAAATCCTCTTATTGCTGTCCAATCTCCAGCACCAGGTACAAAAGCCCTCAAAAAATTGATTCTTGGAAAGCCCTCAAAAATTGATTCTTGAAAGAATAAATAAATGTCATTAACTAATGGCAAAAATTGATAACCAAACTGATTATACAAAGGTGACATATAAATTATTTGTTCACTTCATGTTTTTTAAATTAATAGAGGTATGCTTGAAGAAAGAGATATAAAAATAATAAAATCAGAAGGAAAGAACACATTTTAATGATTTATATCCTAAAGAAAGAAATGGTTATCTTCTAAGGAAGAAAGTGTGAAATTAAAAATAATGTTTTTTGAAGGAATTAAAGTGGATATGTTAATAAAATGGCAATGTCTCTTCTTATGACTCAGATTTAATATGCTGTTTATCTGTTTCACCTTTCCTAATTTAAAAAATACTTATTCCCTAATTTTATTGTCAGAAAGTGATTGATTAGGTACCCTGTACTCCTGCTATTACTGATAAGAATGTATAATATCCTTAAGATGTGCTAGGGGTGGGGAAAGGAGGAGAGCCACCACCAGACTTGGATTTTCCGCTGTTAAAAAAGACTTCTCATTTTTTCCTAGATTGATTTGGAATCAAATCCACAGAACAGAAGTCCTGAATCACGTCCTGGTGTTGTTTATCCCAATACCAAATTTCATCGCAAAGATAATCTCAACCCAAGACACATAAACCTTCCCCTTCCTGCTCCCCCTGCACAGTATGCCATCCCCGGTCGCCATTTTCATCCCCTTCCCCAGTTACCAAGAGCACCGTTTCCAGTTCCGCAGCAGCATGCCTTGTTAAACCAGCAGCAGAATAATTTGCCTGAACAAGCAAACCAAATGCCACCCCAACCAAATCAGGTAGTCCAGCAGCAGAATCCTTTGAATCAGCTGCCTCCACAGCCGCCTCCTCAGCTTTCTCCTGCCTACCAGGCAGCGCCCAACAATGCTTTTTTTAATAATGCAGTTTCTCATCGACCACAGTCCCCTCCTGCAGAGGCTGTGGTCCCTGAGCAGCCCCCTCCCATGCTGCAAGAAGGCCACAGTCCCTTGAGAGCCATTGCACAGCCTGGCCCCCTTCTTCCTTCACATCTGAATAACTTCACTGATGAGAACCCCCCAGGATTGCCGATAGGAGAGGCTTTAGGTAAGTTCCCCTGTCACTGCCAAATGTGACAAATTCAGAGATTATTTACTTAACGTGACATGTACTTTGCAGTATTAATGTGGGTCAGGTTTGATTCATTTCTTTAAATAATGCCAGCAAAAATCAATCACTTAGTATAATAATCAGAATCTAGTTCCAAATGCTATATAACATTAAGCATCCAGTCGATGGCAGGTTATGTGATTATCATCATCATCATTATGATAACTCTTGTTACTGGCAAATTTAAAAAACATTTGCTTTCTCCAAAGCCCAAACTGTAGCCAATTCTTTGTGGAGAAAATCTGGTTGCAAAAACTCTTGAAAAAAGTTACTGGAAACCCTGAATGCATGAAAACTTAAACTTTTCGCAAATGTTTTTGCAGATCGTATGCATGGGAGTGTAGCCCTGGACACATTACGACAGCAGCAAGTGCGGTTACAGCAGTGGAATGAGCATCACGCCTACCTGAGTCAGGGCAGTATTCCATACGCACACCATCAACAGCCTCATCCTCACCTCCAGCATCTTCCTCAGCCGCCCATTGGATTACATCAGCCGCCAGTGAAGGCAGACTGGAAGCTGCCCAGCAGTGCTGAAGGTGAAGCAGAAACAACAGAGTCAAGGTATTTTAGCAACAAAACCAGCCTCAAACATGACCCACCTACTCTTTTCATCCTTGAATGCTATCCTTTTAGCCTTAAGTTGGAATATTGTCCCAAAGAAATTGGATACTGGCCTTCTGGACACATACTACACAGTTCTATTGATTGACCCTGAAATATAGAGAATCACTTTAACTCTGCAAATCTGGGTATGGACAACCTGCTGTGAACTCTAAGCTAACATGGCTCTGTGCTTCGTGGTCTCTTCTGCACTTGGTCTTAGCCGAAAGGCCGAGAAGTGACGTGGGGTCTCTTCTAAAAGAGAAACATACTGTCCTACTCAGTAATTTATTTTTTCTTCTTACTCAGTAATAATACTTATGAAGAATGAATGAAGACAGAAGTCATTCAGTGTTTAAAAATTATAAATTTGTTATTAACTTTTCCTAGTAGCACAGAATTCTACCTTCTTTTAACTACAGGTATTTATGAGTTTTCATTACTGACTCTAAATTTGTTTTTAGGGCTAGTGTCATGTGAATGCACCGAAGTGTTTCCTAATCCCTTCGGATTAAGGCCCACCATTATGGTGACCTTTTATCACTGCCAGTTATCAAGGGCATGTAGAGACTAGGACAGTTGTTTTTAATACAAAGGGAGAAGAAAGAAATCAGGTACTTGAACATATTTAGTGTCTTTAATTCCACATCTGTCAAGTATTAATGCTTATATTTGAGATTAATTAATGTTAGTTCAAGTTATGTGTTATGATTTTGTTTGTAGAAATTGCACATGTAGCTGACTAAGCTCTCCTTAACACGATGGAGCCTTTCTTTTGTTTTCTCCTCACATTTCATCGTCTTCCTGTAGGTTTCAGGACTTACTCAGAGAACTGTCCAATCGTGATCAAAGTGAAGCACGGGAACTAGCTGAGATGCCACCACCTCAATCAAGACTTTTGCAGTATAGACAAATTCAGACTAGGAGCCCACCAGCAGCCCCCTCTCCCCCTTCCAGTACAGACCACAGTAGCCATTTTTCTAACTTTAACGACAATAGCAGAGACGTTGAAGTAGCCAACAACCCAGCATTTCCGCAGCGACTACCACCCCAGATATTCAGCTCGCCTTTCTCGTTGCCATCTGAACACCTTGCCCCTCCTCCCTTGAAATACCTGGCATCTGATGGAGCATGGACTTTTGCTAACTTACAACAGAATCACCTGATGGGGCCAGGTTTTCCCTATGGCCTACCTCCATTGCCTCACAGGCCACCACAAAACCCTTTTGTACAAATACAGAATCATCAACACGCTATTGGTCAAGAGCCATTTCACTCATTGTCATCTCGAACAGTATCTTCTTCTTCGCTTCCTAGCTTAGAAGAGGAATGCCTTTC